CTGTCACTAGTTGATCCTCCATCCTTCTGAACAATATGACAGTAGTCCACCAGGTGTGGAGCCAACCAGAAACTTAATTGTGTTGTGATGTTTATAACTACTAAAAGTGGCCTGTTGTGATTTTGGGTTTTTAGGTCTTGTGATAGGCACTTCAGTTCCATCTATAATTACTCTGGTAATTTTATGGTTTTTTTTAAACTGTGATGGCATAAAATAATCAACGAGTTCTCTACTTGGCCATATATTTAGTTTTGACCACAATTGGTGTACAAAATTTATCCATGTTACAAATACATTACCTACTTCTGATTTACTGATATCAAAATGTTTTGATAGAATAAAATCATCTAAGTTTCTTCTGAGTTTCATTAACATAAGTAAAAACTGATCTTCAATAGACATATTCATAACATAATTCCTACGATAAGAAATACTGTATGCCATCGGCAAAAGAGTTGATAAAACAGTCTTAAACTTCTCATAGCTTTCCAGTCCTATAGTATAGTATAGTTTCATCATCTGTCATAAGCTGATAGTTTGAAAAAAGAAAATTCAAACGTGGAGTTTGTGTAAATGAATTCACAAGCCTGATTGATCTTTCTGGTTCATCGCTAACCATGTTTCCTATCTCATGTGTTTTAATTTCAATTTCCATTTGTACATCGGGCAGATTTTCTTCTTTATCAGAGACTGCATTTCTATCTTCCATGGAGTAATTACCAGTAAGTGTTTCTATAGGGTTCTGTGGAGGAAATAATTCTTTCTTTGCTGACCTTTTAATGTATCGATTTTGTCGTTCTATAGCAGATGTTGAAGGTTTAGGTGTCCATGGGAAAATGGAGGGAACAACACCTTTTTTTAAATGTTTACAAAGTGGTGGCAGTCCTGGAAATAAATTTCACTTATTATTTCAGTGACAACAAACACACGCAATAATAACCTGTTTACTAGAAAACTAATTAAAAAATATATGATTTCTATCTTTTCGGTCAAAGGGTCATCTTAAATAAGATAATTTTACCTGTCGTAGCACAAATTTCTTGATAATCGGATTCTTTAAAATGTTTATAGCATAACCTGGAATTCTTTGAAGCTTTGAATTTTTTTATTTTTGTAGCTTTTTCCCATAACTTTTTTAATTTCGGATCGCTTGGAAATGTATGTCTTCCATTCTCATTGCACCCTACTATCACACATCGAGGCATTTTTAAATGAAACCAAAAAATAAAACTTTGTAATTACTCCAAAATCATTGGTTATGGGCACTGACATGAAATATACTACGTTCATGTCAGTGGTTATGAGTCAGAAATACAAAGCGCAGCCTAGCGGAGGAAAAATGTACTATCCAGTAAACAACTCCATTAGGTAAGGTACTTGTTATCTGTGGTATAACAAATGCCTTGATATCTTTACAATATGAATTAGAACGTGATTTAATAGTAATGTTACAGCATTCTAGAGCTGCACATGTCATATTATTAATGCCAGTTATAGATACAGAATTAATCGATTGGCTATTAATACCTAGTTTGGCTTTAAGAGACTCCGATATGAAGGAGGATTGACTGCCACAGTCCAATAGACAACGGACCTCATGGCTTTGCTTCTTGTTACTTAATATAACAATTGCTGTTGATAGAAGTACCTGATTTTCGATACAGGCTGATAGTGCAATTGGATTGCACACATTGTTAGTAACATTAGAATTGTCGTTATGTTCTACCTTACTAGAACCAGACATGTTATTTACTTTGTCGTTATGTTCTACCTTATGAGAACCAGACATATTATTATTTACTTTGTGCAATAAGGAATTGTGTTTCCTTTTACAGAATTTACATTGAGTGGAGGTACATTGACTAACGAAATGCCCACTCCTTAGACAATTTGTACATAACTTATGTTTAATAACTTCAGCATTTCTACCGTCTATTGTCATACTATTAAATTTTTCACAGTAGTAAATTAAATGGTTATTACCGCATATTACACAGGATCTAGATTTACTTGTATTGTCTTTGCAAGCTGTAGCAACAAACATCTTGTGAGGCTGCTTTATACGAGATGCTTTGTCATTCAACTTTTCATGAGTGCTGGCAGGATGTTTGTTACTGTGGCTTGCGTCATTTACCATTTCTAAAATGTCGGCAGTGTTTCTAAGAAAACTGTAAAACTGATCTAATTTGGGTTTGTCTGGTAAACTACTTTTATATTCCTCCCATTTAGTGGAGGTGACTAAATCTAATTTTTGACTGAATAGAAAGATTATTAATGTATCTCAATTCTCGGTTTTTTCATTCAAACTGGTCAATGCCCGAAGGTGCTTCGAAATATGATCAATGATTGTTCTTAACGCTGATGCAGATCTCTTTATGGTTGGAATGTTCATAAGCGACAATAGATGGTTGTGTACTAGTTGATTAGTATTGTGGTAACGATCACAGATCAATTTCCAAGCTATGGTATAATTACATGCAGAAATCTCCAGTGATTCTATTACAGCAGCTGCTTGACCCGATAGTGATAGTTTTAAGTATTGGAATTTATTTATATCATTAAGTTTAGGATTATTGTGAATTAAGGAATTAAATGTATCATGGAACTCAAGCCATTTGTTGAAATTACCATCAAAATTTGGCAATTTAATGGTAGGCAATTTGATGCAATTAATATTCTCACTTTTCTCACTGTCCGAATGAATACTTTGAAAACTATTTTGAAATTTATTGAATTTGAATATTAACTCCTGCGCTAAACTAATTTGACTATAGAAACTGCTTTCTGTCAGATCCCTGTCTGAGTTCAGTTCCTCAGTGGAATCTAGAAGCTCAATTTTAATTTGCACTTCATCATATTCATTGAACAATGATTCTATTTTGGTTAATCGTAACTTTAATTCTAAAAACTGTTGTTTTGTAATTGTAGATGGATCCTGACATTCAAAATTACCTAAATATTCTTGAAACTAGTTAGTCTAGCTTTTATAGAACCTCTTTGCCGTCTCAAGTCTTTTAACTCCGTGTCAGACATAATGCAGAAGTACACTGGCCACCAAAATAGTAATAAAAATTCGCTAAATACCTGCTAGCTCCACTCAAACCTGGCTATCACCCATGCAGCAGCTGCAAACCAGCGTCAGCAATCCACTCGTTGGGATCCTAGGCCCCGCGTCTCGAAGATTCGACACGTGGCGTAGGCGCGGGCGCGGGCGCGGCGATAGGTGCGCGGGGAGGGGGAAGTTCGTCCGGTACAGGCGTCGCTCGCCTCTTGTGCCGGCGCGCGCACTATGTATTACCTACGTATACCTAGGTACTCTAGGTAGTTCCCGTAGGTAGGCGCGTGAGCTGAAATTGGTTATGACATGCGCTGTAATGCAGTGCGAAGGCTAGTGTAGCGAATTTACGGAGAAATTGACTCAAGTTAGTTATGTATAGGCTAGAATTTCAATGCAGAATGGCAATGAAATAGTTACTAGACGGTTAGATGGGATGCAATTTTAGTTACTTTAGGGTTACAGGCTGGGCAATCATCCGCGTGAATGAATATGTGCGCTTCAGCTAGCTGTAACAATGACTCCACCACTCCACCCAGATATGCCAAACACACGCTACCCGGCTACCGAAACTCTAAGCAATCACACACAATGCTCACAACAAATGAATAATAGGAAACGGGTAGTCTAGAAGGTAGGATAAAGGAACGGGCACACCTTATTTCCGATGTAACTTTGCTGCCAGGCCCTGGATTCCGCTGCGTCCAACCTCGACTGGTCCGTACTTCCGTTACTTCTTCAATCTTCACTGTTTCTGCACTTCCCGCACAGAAAATCGTCCTGTCACGGTCGCCAAAAATTGTTTGTTCATATATTTCAATAAAACTCGCGTTGTGAACTTATGCGTGTATATTACAATTAGGAAAAAATTATACATGAATTTCGTGGGGTTGCGTGTGCGCGCAATGGCGGAGCTCGGTGAAGTGACGCGGCGTCGCTAGTGGCGTGGGGATCGCGGCTCGCCCGCGCGCCGTCATGGCCGACGGTTGCGCGTAAAGCCGAAAACACACTTGCGTGAACACAAGTGTTTATTGCAAAAAGCGTACCCTTAGATTCTGTATGTTGGAAAAAAGAAATTGTTATTACCATTACAATGTCAACGTCTAAATGATGATAAAGAATCAAAATAAATCTATATGATGAAAAGCTGAAATTGTATTTTTTTTCAATAAACTTTCGTTTTTCCACATTTTGTTTTTATTTTGACAGAAAATGTAAATTCAATTCAAAGCGCAATGTTGGTAGTCTACAACATAATATTCGGTCACTATTCACTACAATGTTTCGCAACGTTGTATCTGAACAACATTTGTTTTCTCAAAAAGTATATAAGTTACATTTTTTCCAATAATTTTAATTCTATTTAAATTCGGTTAAAAAAATCACATAAATTAAGTGGCCTGTACTCCAACAGTAGACATTATTTTTGAAAAATGTTAACAATTAGTTGAAGTGATAATTAAAATTGGCAAAAATAATGTACAAATAAACCCAAAACGAAATAATTAGAGCTGGACTTAGGAGAATTCGATGATTTTCCCGTTTCTCCGATATTCTTTTTTAATGGCCATATGCGTTTTATTTTTTCATATTTTTTAAGGATAGGACATTAGTCAAGCTACTTCCCATAGCACGAGGGTATAGTGCTCAAACCCAATAAGTACGAAATTGACACTTTTGAGATATTCAATATTTAAGTTTTAGGACAAAAATACCCTATGTTATTCAAATAATGTCGTTATTATGAGTATTTGTGGTAAAAGTGGATATGTTGAATTAGTGTAAAACAGTGTTTTTGAGTTTCTGAGGTAGTACATTTTGTCATAATAAAAATATAAGTTACAAAGGGCACCGACTTATTGGGTTTTAGATTTAGTGAAATTAAACATACTATGTACTTTAGGAAATGGTTTATTTAAAGAATCATAAAAAAAAACAAGATAAATCACTCTTCATCACTTTCGAAAGCTGTAGGTTTGGTGTACGTCTTCATACCACGTATCCATGCATGAAGTTCCTCTGGTATGATAAGTTTTTCGCACATATTGAGGAGATCCTTTTTTTTAGCAAGGCTAATTGGTAATTGAGTGGGATATAAATGCTCTATTTCATTTGGTAATTGTACATTAACTGAAGGCGGGTTAGAATTTCTTTTAGCTCTAGTTTTTGGTGTATTAACGGCCGTTTTACAGACATCTATGCTACGAAAGTTCTCGGACATATCATAATTAAAATATAATTTTAAGTCTCCTTTCACATACTTAATCCTTTTTATTTTAAGCCAGTTAACCGTTTCCTTCAAGTTATCTTTATTTTTGTTTCTAATTATTGCAGCGCTAAGATTTTTCAAGTCTAACATGTCATTAAATTTAAATTCTCTCACTTTATAATTATCAATCTCTATTGTTTCCTTCACATCCTCTTTCGTAATAGTTTTAGCTCTCTTCTTTCTAGCTGCTTTAAAAACGTTTTTCCACTCACTTACGCTACTTATTGTCTTATTTTTAGACGCTGATTCAATAGCAGCGTGCATGGAATCCACCTCCATGTGAGTGTGGCCACTTTCTAAGAATTTCTGTTCGATTACATTTAAATGATCGATTTTCTGAACTGCCCAGAGCAGAAGTGCTGAAATGTACTGATTCCTGTTTTGTCCGCTACAGGTGTCAGAAAAAATATTTATTTCTTTGATGGATTGGGGTAATTCTTTCGATAAAAAGTAATAGAGGCACGTACCTATTTCAGAACTCCCTTTTTTACCATTTAGTTCGCTCCAACAGAGACAGTATGCATTATTTGGTAATTTTGCTTCGTAAATAGTAAAATTATACAATACTAACTTCCTCATATAGTATAATATACTTTCCCCTCCACTTGGTATTTGCAACACAGCTTGTAAATCCATAGTAATAGACATAAATGAGTGATCTGTATTAGCCCGAATTTTGTCAGCATCTTTTTCTGCTTGACATATTTTTTTACGCTGTATGTGCTCCCGAAATTCTTCTTCTAAATTTTCTTTCGAGTCAGCTTTTTCGTATTTTGAACAAATGCTACATAAGTCCTTTTTTGGATGAAAAAAACTCAAATTAAATTTATCATTAAATATTTCACGATACTTAAATGCTGAAACTGCTACCCTTTCGGATTCTTTGCAAATGTCCTGATACAATCTATACATATTATTAATAGATCTATACATATTATTAATCCATGGCTGGGACCATCAGGAGCTTGGAAGGTGACGAAGAGATATATTATGGATGTCTACAACCTGAATTGATAAGAATGCAAAAAATAATAGCACCATTAGAAATGGACAACCCAGTTTATTGTGGACCGTTAATAGAAATAATAAAGGAAAATATTCAAAAGCGTTTCGAAAAATTTGATTTTGATATCCCAAGATCTAAGGAGAGCATTCTAGCAGCAGTATCGTATCCATTTCTTAAATTAAAATTGGTGCCTAAAAATAAGGAGCATTTTAGGGAGCTGTTTATCACAGTAATCAGGAATTTTACAAAAAGTGTACATTCGGTATTTGGAGGTGTCCTACAACTTTTGATAAATATTTGACAAACAATTTTTACATTTAAGAAAAACAACACTAAAAATATGGATCTATGGTTAGCTTTTACAATATCTTGACTCGATGAATGCGGCAATTGACTCGATGAAATATTTTTCTGCGACTTGCAAAAACTAAACGCAATCATAAAGCATTATCATGTGGGGTACTTTTTATAAAAATAATATCCATCCTACCGACACATACGTTAAGTAATAGATAACTTCTATGATCATTGTGTTCTTTTATTGTTAGTTTTCTTTTAATCCATCAAGTTTTTTCCTGCTGTGACAATATACCGTATTGAAAAATGAATCAAGAATTTGAATTTATCACTAATCAAAAAGGAACTGCAACTTTAATTTATAACGGCCACCGATTCAATAGAAATGTGAGTAACTCAAGCGGGTCAACTTTATGGAGGTGCGTAAAGAGAAGAAATTGTACTGCTTCGATTACTATAGATAAAGATAAATTAAGTGTTTTACGAACATCGTCATATTCTGTTATGTTTTTTTTTTTAAAGGGGGGAAAATCATCGAATGACTGTTCCCGCCTGGGTGAGGCGGAAGGGAGTGTCAGACTCTTACTGACTAAAACCACCCCGTTCCTTCTCCTGCACGTCGAGCCGGAGCCCCGGTTACCCGTTAGGTTCTTCGCGACCGTTAGGTTCTCTGCGACATTCTGTTATGTTTAGGTACCTACAGATCTATCAATATTTTTCTGTCTCTTAACATTGTTTGTAATACTGTTCCTATTTCATTTATTTATCTTTTATTTCAGTCCACATACAACTCAAGATCATCAGCTGTCGAACCTTTCGATAGGTGACGATACGCCCAAAACCTATTCGAGTGGAATACCACAAATTCGATACGAAGCAATAGCCTGCAGCTCTAGCTCCAATACAGTTGAATCTGTTGACATGACAGAGCAAGCAAAGACTGGATTTTGATTGGCCACAACCCGATTCACAGACTGAAGCTTATCAACTAACTGTGAAAAGAACATCAAGCGATAACTTATCAGGTTTGGTAGGGTACCGTATTGTTGACTTGAAACATGTGATCCAATGGGCATTTCAAATGGAAAACCACCGACAGTCTTGTGAGTCATCTCAAGTAGAGTATATTAGTGAACACCAGAAAGGATTTCACAGTTTGATTTAAGTTTTATACAATTGCATAAAGAAGACTTAATGCGAACAGCATTCTCTGCCAGTCATCCTTTGGGTAGTGCAGAAATATATGTGGTAGGTGGTAAGCTGCAAAAATGTTATGAGAGATATATAATGTAGGATGTGTAATAAAATATGGCAACAAAGCACAGAGAAGAAACAGAAAATTAACACGGCATTTGTATGGGCAACTGTGACTGGTAGAAGTTATTACACTCAAGCAGCACACATCACACATCACATATCTAATGGATATACCGACAATGACCGGATAAACGTTCCGTTTAATTGAAAAACAATTGGGCAATGTATGGCATGAACATTTGGCTGAAAAAATAAAGAAAGCTGGTGAGCAAGAAAAGTCTATTGCTATTGATAAAGGAAATGTTTCTTCAGATGGTATTATATACATTACTGTATATGTAGATGGCGGATGGTTGAAAAGGTCATAATATGGTCACAACTTTGATTCGTCATCTGGAATGGTAAGTCCCAACTTAATAATATATTTTTGAGTTCATTACATTACTAATCTTTTGCATGTTGATAAAGTTTATGTTTGACAATACCAAACTACAAAACATTCAATGTTCAGTGTTTTGATTTATAATGTGTCACAATATTTGAACTAAGAACTTTAATTTTAAGCCTGCGTTATTGGAAATGAAACCAAAAAATGTCTTTATCTTGGTATCAGGAACAAATATTGTTATACAGGTGTATTATGAGCGAACAGGTTCAGACGCTAAGAGTCATGACTGCTGCAAAAACTTTACTGGGCCATCTACTGCAATGGAATCTGATATTATCGTTGAAGGATTTCAGCAGAGTGAGAATATGCATAATCTTCGGTACCTAAGTTTTATAGGAGATGGTGATTCTTCAGTGTTTGCTAATTTGAAAGAAAATGGGTCTTATGGAAACCAAATAAAGCAAATTGAATGCAAGAATCATGTTATAAAAAACTACACGAATGCACTTTACAAGGTAAACAACCACTTCTTAGAGTTATGAATAAAGATTTTACACTAGCTTTTACTTGCGGCTCTGCGTGTTAAAATGTATAGTAAATCTATGTCGTGGTTATAAAATATATGTGTGCCTAATTTCATCCATATCCGTTTAGTAATTTTTCTGTACATATTTCATAAATATTTCACTTACAGTAGGATTTCAACCGACTTCCAAAAAGGAGGAGGTTATTAATTCGACTGTATTTCTTATGTTTGTCCACCGAACTCCGCGTATTGCCGACCGGTTTTCAAAATTGTTTTTTTATTTGAAAGAGTATACACCTGAAGTAGTCCCATTCACCAAATGAGAATCTGATGATGGAATCCCAGATTTTTTTGTTGTATTTGTTATAGAAGTCAGATATTATTTTCAAAAAGTTTTTTATCTTCCTATGTATAAATATTTTTTTAAAGATTTTAAGTAATACGAAACTATGAACGAAATATTTTGAGGCCGAAATCGATACAATTGACACTAGTAGCGCGAAAGATTATTGTTCACAATAGAAAAAGTCAGGTTCAATGGCTGATGATTTAAGATTTAAGGAATAGTCCACTTCATGTATTTGGACAGCATGAAAAATGTAAGGAATATTACTGTTCAGTGAAGCAATTACCATCTGACGAGAATAAACAGCAAGACAACCAAGTAGAAATCCTAAGAAATACAGCACCAGAGGTCTGGGCTCTTATTTATGCTGCAAATGAAAGAATCGCTTTGAAAGCTGGACGGTTGTCTAACGAAACGACAAATGTAGCAGAAAATTTTATGAGTGTCAATAATAAATTTAACTGTGGAAAACGTCTCAGCCTTGAAAAAGGAGGCTCTTCATCAGCGGCGTATTCATTATAGCAGATATAATAAGTTTTTTCATAGATATTTTAAAACAATAATTATAATTATGATCTATTACTTCTTCTCTCCTTTATAAAGAACTTTTTCTCAACTTTTGATTACTTATGGAACTTTCAATGGTCATCAATAAAAACTTAGGTTGCAAACAGACATGTATGTGACTATGATTTGGCTTTTCAGGATTGTCTCATTCTGTAAGACATAAATGGCATAAAACTGCATGGAAAAAAAACAACAGAGAGCCCTGGACAGTATTTTAAAAACTATGTCCATCAAAAACAGAGAAGTAGATTGCGCTAACAGAAAATGACTCGAAAACGGTTTTTACTGAAAAAAATAAAACTCAACCTGATAAGGACTATGGCCCAGCAGCAAATGACCCTATCTATATTAATGAGGTAGAATTAAAACGGATCTGTGAATTGAGATTGCTTAAATTTCAAGAAGATACACAAAAATAGTACTAATTGAAAAGCAGACTAGGTCAACATGATAACGAAAAGTATCTCTCATACAGATCAGACCGTCTCACATCAAGCCAGTTTGGGATGGTAAGCGAACTACTATTCGTTTTTCGAGTACCGACTACGAGTCGTAAATACTGTTTCACAATTTATTTTCTTTACCTGCTTTTGACGAACGTCTTTTGGTCATAAAATACCGAGCCCTCTTGACTCCAGATGTTCAACATGTGTGCGACAAACGTGCGTTTCGTTATAAACAAAATTGAAACTCAAAATAACACAACATCTATATATATAAAAATGAAACCCGTTTCGCGTTGTCACAGCATCACGTGTGAACGGCTGAACCGATTTCGATAATTCTTTTTTTTAAATGTTTGTGGAAGTCCAAGGATGGTTCTTACGGAAAAAAATATTAAGAAAATCTCTCAGAAATATTGAAAAGTATACATTTAATTTTGCATATTTTAAAAAACGCGCGTTACGAATGTCAATTTTTTTTTTTATACGAATGTCAACGTCATTCACAGCCATAGACTATATTAAAAGAGCATCGTTTGTTCGGAAACGTGGTTACTTAATTAAGTTTGTTCGGAAACGTGGTTACTTAATTAAATTCTATTGCACTAATTTATAATTTTTTGAAAATAATACAAATAGTAAACCTATACAAATTTCGCATATCCTATTTAGTAATCTGTGGTAGTATCTGTTTCCCTAACTTGACATTGGCGACATTGGCGAATGGCTGAACAGCCAAGCCAGTAAAAAAAAAAAAAACTGTGGTAATCTGTGGCATCACATCCATAACCGCTTTCTAAGTTTTTGATAAAGTTTGTTTTGTTATAAAGACTAAGAAGTTTTTTGTTTGTTAATAAGTGTTTGTTAATTACGGTAAGTTGACAGCTTCATATCGATTTTTGGTAACTTTTGGTGACTACATAATTTTACAATTTGGTTATACAGAAAATATATGAGAGCTTTTTATTTTCAGTTTTTAACAATGCCACCAACCAGACGTACAAATTTAGGCCGCAGAACTCGAAATACGGCAAGTCAAAGAAATCTACTTAGTTGTTTTCTAGAGCGCGCGTGGTGTTAAGCTCAGTATTTACTTCAAAATGCCAAGTTGTTCAATAGCGATTTGTAAAAATATAAGTAGAATTATTGAATCCTATGGAATAAACACTATTATGAAAATATACAATATCGCCCATGCGCATGTGACCGCCCGTAATATTCTGAATATTCATGAAAAAATATCGAAAATAAACTTCGAAAAAGAAGGCCTGCATCCTTATCATTTCCGACGTGCACAACATTTGGAAAATGTCGATTACGGTGCGAGATCTGTTTTTTGTAATTGGATAATTGCACAGCAAAGAGCTAATCTCAATTTTATGAGGAAGATTTTGTGGACAGATGAAGCCACGTTTACAAGGGCGGGTATAACAAATCATCGCAATCTTCATGTGTGGGCCACTGAAAATCCACACGTCATTAGAGAAACAACTTTCCAGACTCAATTTTCCATAAATGTATGGGCTGGAATGATTGACGGTGAACTTATTGGCCCTTTCGTGTTACCAAACAGACTAGATCAACACGCATTTTTAGATTTTATAGTCAATACGTTGCCGTTGCTTTTGGAGGAAGTACCGCTGGAAACCAGAAGGCGGATGTATCTGCAATTAGATGGAGCTCCAGCACACTTCGCACGACTAGTTCGTGATTATTTAAATCAAAATTATCCGCGATGGATTGGCAGAGGAGGTCCCATTGCTTGGCCGCCGCGATCTTCCGACCTTACACCCTTAGATTTTTATCTTTGGGGCAACATGAAACAAAAAGTGTATGCCGTGCCCATTGAAAGCCGCGAGCAATTAACGGCTAGGATTTTTGCTGCTGCTGCGGAAATTAAAGAAAACCGTGAAGAATTACGTCGTACAATAAAAAGTGTTGCCATGAGAGCTTTAGTTTGTTTACAGGAGGGTGGGGACCATTTCGAAAATCTAATTAATTAAAATTCTTGTATTTTTTATTTTTTAAGTAAAAATCTGGCTATTGCTTGTTTGTTTTTATTTCCATTATCATCCTCCTTATTAGTTTAACCTTTTAGTACTCACTGCTAAAAGCGGGGACATTTAATTGACTTTCACATTTTCTTTTCCTAAATTTGACTCTTAGAGTTTTAGAGTTTTACTTTGGATTTAGTTACAGTTTGGTTTAATAATGTTCTGTAAATTTTTAGCTGTTATGTAGTAGATTACAAATAATGATTAAAAAAGTGGTCCTATGGGGATAATTTATGGACTTACACTAGTTTTTTTTAAATAAATACACAATTTTTTACCGAAAAAATTACTTCGATTCCGTTTTTTTTTTTTCGTAGTCGATATTTTTTAGTAAAATGTTAATTAACCTGTTAAAATAACTCATAAGCTTTTGGAAATAATAAACAAAATACAAATCGACCCATAAACTTCGGAGATGTGTCAAAAAATAGAAAGCAAGTCTACAAACTCTACTTAAAAAATTCAAAATTGAATAACATGATAAATGTTACAGATAGACCCCCCCCTTTTGAAGTTTATTTTCGATATTTTTTCATGAATATTCAGAATATTACGGGCGGTCACATGCGCATGGGCGACATTGTATATTTTGTTTTGTATTTAATAAAATTAGGTCCTTTTCAGATATGGCGAGACCAGGGAAATAGGGATTAATTTATATATGGAGGATATTATAGATCCCAGTTTAAATTGAATAGGTACTCATACCTAAGATAGGTCAACTATACAAAATAAAGTAGTGCATCAAAGCTACGCTAAGGCGGTACGAAGTTCGCCGGGTCAGCTAGTTTAAGATAAAATGAGTTAGTTTTACATACAAATTAACTTTAATTAGTTTTCATAAGATGTGTACTAACTAAACCATCGCAGGCATCTGCATGATAAGTTTTTTTACTTACCAAACATAATTCAACACAGCTTACTTTAAAGGAATGGAACGTTATGATAATCAAGCGCGCGCGCTTGACATCTGTCAAACAGATAAAATTTCAAATCTTCTGCCACTTCTGTTTTACGCTGTTAAAACGATACCTGTGTGAAATCAACTCATTGTTTGAAATGGATATTACGCCGGTGAGTGTCCAGAGATAACATCTATTTGATCTATTTTTACAGAATTGTACAGTACGACCGGCGAAAGGTGGCGAGAGAGAAGTTAGGCTCTAGCAACAACTCGCCACCTTTCGCCGGTCGTACTGTACGTTGTAGCTTCGGTAAAATTTAATTCAGAGATATCTTTCTATTACAGAAAACAAAGAAAGCTATGAGCAAGGATATGGTTTCCCTACTCGTGGATCTAATCCAAAGCCACCCCATAATCATTACTAAAGAGACTAATGCTGCCACCAATAAACTTAAGCAGGAATCTTTAACGAACAAATTTAATTCGAAAAGTGGTCAAATACCACGTCAGATCGGTCAGCTTAAATTGAAATGGGGCAATTTAAAAAAAGCAACTCGTATGAGAGCTGCCGCTGTAAGGATGAACAATTTAAAGGTATTATATTACCTATTATTAATTACTAACTGTATCCTGTGATTTACATGAATGTCTGCATAGAAGTATCCTAGTCTGTCAAATTTGATTTGAATGGATTTTGAAAGGGGATTGTCCAAATAAACTACGCCAAATAGGCAGTTGTTCCATGTAAATTACTCGTACTCAGCTGCATCCGGTTATACTGGAAGCCAACCCCAACATAGTCGGGAAAGGCTAGGCAGATGCTGATAATCCAAATAAACTAAACATGTTTTATTTTATTGTAGACAGGCAAACCGGGTTATATCCCACCTGATGAAATTATAGAGAAAGTAACAAGCGTTTTGGGATCCACATGTAGTGGGTTTGAAGTTCCATTTGGTGGTGATGGAGTGGGTGTCACGGAAAATGTCACCTTTGAATTGGACAATGCTGATGGTTGGACGCAAGTTCAAGAGCAACTTGACACAAATGATGCATCAGTTAACATCCAGGATGAATCACTTTTGCCAATAAGTACAAGTATGCATCCTTTCTGTTCCTTTCTATTGCCTTCTGTTATTATTGTACACACATTGTTAATTTTTCTTTTATATGTAAGCAAAAAAGAGGAAAATAGACTTTAGTTCCCAGGCTTGGACTTCAGGAGACAACACAAGTGCAAAACATATTTATGGAATGACCTATATGTCTAAGCATCTTCAAAGCAAAGGTAATATAGTAAGTCCCATATTTATAATTTAATATATTATTTATAATTTAATATTTTATAACTTAATCTCGCGACAAGTTTCATACCATTTATACATGGCGATGTTATAATAGTAGTAGTTGTAATGGAAAAAATATTTTATTATTTTTAGAGCTTAAATAAAACCTTGTTTTTTATAAAAAGTGGTTTACTTTTAATTGTTTAATTTATAAACATGTGCATTATAGAATGTAAATATGTTTAATAGCAAAACCTAATCTAAGCTTTCTTTGTAACAGCCAAAAAGTTTAAAACAAACCAGGAAGATGGAAAGCTCCAACGTAATTTGGCAGTTGCGAGATATTATGATAAAAAACAACAGAAAAATTAGACATAGAGATTAAAATATTGAAATTGGTGTCAGCTAATAAGGAAAACAATTATATAGTAATAATAATATTTAGTATCTAGTTTGCATAAATGACTTTTTTTATATATTTTTATTTTATGATGGTGTTGAATTGGTTTTTCATGTCATTTAGGGTATTTCAAACAGTTGTTGTAAAATAAAACAGTTTGTAAAGTTGTTATTTTATTACTTTTCATTACATTAGAAAATTGATACTTAGCAGTTCATTATTGCTCCTACTCTTGATATCATCATCCATTATAATAATAACAAAAGCCTTTATTAACAATCTTAGAGTTACATTTATCTTAATTTTACAACTCAACTATGTATTACTAATAAACGTTTTCAAATGCAACTTATAATGAATTTTAATGTGTTTGTGTTAGACACCGGTTACGTGATTGTCTTGCCCTTTGGCATAGGCCTCCCCAAGTCCTCTCCATAATTCTCTATCTCTTGCTGTCCTCATCCAACATGATTGGATGAGGTCATCATCCATTAGTGTAAACTAAAAAAAAGATAATAAGAACTTTATTACACAAAACAGGAAAAGGCCTCTTGTAGTACTTACATGTACTACATCGTTGAATGATAATGTAGTTATGTAAGTATAGAAGTTGAAAGAAGACCCGTCTCCTTAACTTTCAAATCTGAACCTTTATCGTTATATAGAACATATTTTCATTCAAACCTCGATTCCAAAAGGGCTCAATCTGAAGCAATAGTTAACAACACAAGTAATATCACGCAATATCCCCCCTTAATACATATACCTGAGCATTCCAATACAAACACAACTAGAAACGATTAGCCATATTTAATGCCTATTGGGACACTGGTGATTTAAACGTTCAGAGGCAATTTATATACAACCATATGACAAACATTGAGCCAAAGTATCGGTACATCCGTGTTGGTAGTACCCGCCAAAACTTAAACCACGCATATTACTTCACGAAAATCGATCAACGCATTCGAGTATGCAAGTTAGTCTTTACGAATACACTTGCTATATCAGATAAAAGCATTCGGACTGTTGGCAAGAAATTTTCTGGATCAATTACTGGAATTCAAATGCAAGATAACCGAGGAAAACATGGCAATCAATTTAAATTGGATGCTGCTTTGAAGGATAGGGCAAAGGAACACATTAACTCCATACCCAGGATTGAGAGCCACTACTGTCGCGCTCGCTCTAAGCGTGAGTATATTGAAGAAAGCCGATCTATTGCTACTTTGCACCGTGATTACGTCGATAAATGTAAAGCTGAAGGTAAAGGTTATCTTTCTTATAAACTGTACTATAATATCTTCGTGAATGACTTCAACATTTCTTTTTGGAAACCGAAAAAAGACCAGTGTGAAGACTGCACAGCTTTCGCAAATGTTGAAGATAAAACGCTTTTACAAGTACAATATGATCTGCATTTGAAAGAAAAAAATTTAGCCAGAGCTCAAAATGAAAATGATAAAAAAAATATAAGCGATAATTTTATAGTATGTGTATATGACTTACAGGCTGTGATGCATTGTCCGCAAGGCGAAGTCTCTAGTTTTTACTATATTTCAAAATTGAATATGCTGAATTTTACTGTTACTGAACTGGGTTCAAATAATACGATCTGCTACGTTTGGCATGAAGGTGCAGGAGCTCGTGGTGCTAACGAAAGAGGATCGTGTGTGCTTGCGTACTTGAAAAATTTGAATGAGAAAGCTTCTGACTATTTTGACGTAGTATTTTACGGCGACAACTGTTGTGGCCAACATAAAAATAAATTTATGTTAGCAACGTACCAATACGCCATAAATGAGTTGTCGAAGTTGAGGAGTGTTACTCATATTTTTTTAATAAAAGGGCACACTCAAAATGAAGGAGATGCTGCTCACTCTCTAATTCAACGCAACATTTCGAATGCATTAAAAATCTTCTCCCGTTTATGTGTCGGATAACCCTTATTAAAACTGCAAAGAAGAAAGGAAGACCCTTCGTTGTTCACGAACTTACGCATGAGAGTTTTTTAGATTTAAAATCTCTGGCTGTCGGCAATTACACAACTACAGAAGATGGACAAAAATTCAAATGGGCTGATATAAAAACTATTAAAGTCCATCGAGATTATGAGAACAAATTCTTCAAGACTTCTTACGAAACTGAAGAGTTTACTTCGGTAGCCACGCTGACAAAAAGAAGGTCTGCTAATCCTATAGTGCTAAAAAAACTGTACAAACAGGGTATTCTTAAACTTATTGAGAAAAATATCATTCCTAAGTATTACCAAAGATTTTACGAAAATTTGTAATTTTATTATTAGATACCTAATTGTGGTAATATTTAGAATAGTTAATTTTAAGAATAATTTAGAATAGTTAATAGTTAAAAGTTCCTTTTGATAATAAAGACTTATAAATTTCATGCAAACATTTACATAACAATAATAAATAACGATTATAATTTGTAACTTAAAATAGTTTACTTAAGAAGTGCCTTAAAGTGTTTATAACTGTGATTTTGTAAGACTACTTAGATTATTATTGTGCAATAGTATTATTACATATAAGCTATAATATTTTGCTACTGAATTATGTGCCTTTAGAACTGATCTTGTATTTTGTTTTGTTTAAATTATTAATGTTAAAGAGAGACAAATTAGTGTCGTCAGTTGATTATTTTTTGAGTTATTTAGAGAATTTATTAATGAATATGGTTATTTTATGTATATTTTGATAATGATTATTACAGTTTTATCTCTTTTTTTTCTATAATTCTTACAAATATAATTGTTTTAGAGAGAATATGTTTAATTTTGCTGAATAATAGTCACGTACAAAGTTGATCTCAATTACCTATATTACTTAATAATAAGTTAAGATTTTTTAATACAATGTTCTCTTGGTGTCCATTCACTTATGTTTTTAAATAGTAATAAGATTAAACTTTTTGATACGGTTTTTTACCAAAAAGGTACAATGAACCATTTTTATTTGTAAAACTGTGTTTAATTTTTGACATATTTTTTATTGTATTGGTTCAAATTTTGAATGCAAAAGGGACTTTTATGCTTTTTTTTTCTTAATAGGTAACATCTATTACAAAGTTTATATTGTAGATAGATAGAGCTAATAATTACGCATCTAATGATATATTAACATCTTATGTTTAATTAATAAATATATAAAATATTATAAAAAAACAGTTTCAAAAATTTGTTTAGGCTGTCTTGTAAAATTTATGGATTTCGATTTGTGTCCCTTTTGTACTCAAGGAGCGTGGAGGTGCCTTATCCTAATAAGACCTACAAAAAACGAATGTAGGCCTTATATCGGCACACGCACAGGCCTTATAAGGCAATGTTTTATGTCAGTTAGAAAACTATCACAATAAAACATACAACTCTTGTTTTTATTAAAATCATGGAAAACGATTCACCAGCTTCAACAACAAAGAAAAAAAGGCTCAATGGACTTCACAACAGATGGAAATGTCAAAATGGTAGAAAGAGGAATATTATCTACATATGCTGCTGCAGTGAGATACAACATCCCAAGAAGAACTCTACGCAACCATCTAGCGAGTGGGTCGACTACACGAAAGCTAGGTCGGTCGACTATATTAACTCCAGAACAAGAAGCTGAACTTGTCAAAAGGACCATACGTTTAGCTGATGTTGGAGTGCCGTTGACATCAAAGATGTTGCAAATACAGGCTTTCTCATTTTGTAAAATTAATAAAATTCCAAACACTTTCAATGATGGCAAAAATGCCGCGGGGAAGAAATGGTTAAGGCTATTTCTTAAACGACACCCTGAATTGGCACGTCGTAAAGCACAGATGATAAATGTGCTCAAAAATTAAATTAAGATATTGTTGGCGATCACTTTTCCAAATACAAAAGTGTACTGGATAGACTTGGAATTGAACATAAACCTGAAAGTTGATGGTGCAGTTAGATACGATAAATTGATTAACAATCACAACAAAATGTTATAACGAATAAAATTACTTTAGTTTCCGAAATAGTTGATACATTTGTTAATATTTACAACTCAACTAGAAATAACTTTATAGTACTGGAAAAAACTATTAAGGAAATAGAAGAAATTTTAAACAATACTCAGTTCCAAAGGAGTAAGAACCTTGTATTAAATACATATAACGTGTTAATTCATAACTTCCAAATATTATTAACCCGCTTAGATGAAGTGGAGACAGCAATAGCGTTTAGTAGACTTAATGTATTACATTAATCCATATTAAATACAACCGAATTATTTTACATTCTTACAGACATCGAGAAAACAGATAGGTTAGCATTTCCTGTAACTATCGAAAACTTAGTTAATATTGAACATTGTATCGATATCAAAGCTTATGTAAAGGGCAAACAAGTAACTTTTATTATGTCAGTACCAATAGTCCAAGCAGATATCTATAACTATTATACCTTACATCCCTTTCCTATGTACAACTCCCACCTTGACCTATCATTTATGATAACTCCTAAACATTCCCATATCCTTGCGAAAGGGTTGAAAATAGTGTCGCTCTTCCAGCCTTGCAGGGAAATAGACGAAGGAAAATTCGTTTGTTACGACAGTAACGTGTCTCCAGAGGAGGAAAATAAATGCATCATAGATTTGATGACGTTCTCTACGAAGATAACATCGTGCCTGCCTCTACCTGTCAACGCATCTACTATTAAAGTCAAATCTATACAACCAGACTTTTGGATAATATTCGCAGGCAATTCTTAACAGAAATCTGCGGAAACGACATGAGCCAACACGACGTCATGGGTACCTACATCTTAACACTGAACAATTCATGTGAAGTGAAGCTTGGTACAACTACGTAAAGAAAGCACCGTCTTCAAGCAGGAGAAGTTGTCTTCCACAGCTCGCCATCCTTACACCTACATAGCATTGTGACACTAAAGGACATCGTGCCGCGCAAAACTATCAGCCTGGACGAGATCAACTTG